TATTGGGCGCTCATAACCTGCTGGTGAGCAGGATCAGAGGGAGCTGCAGAAGCCATGATTAACCGCAGGAGGCACTCGACAAACACAACTTTTACAGCGAAGACGTGCTCTGCATGCGACCTCTCAGGCCTTATCGTTAGTATGCAGTGTTGCCCATCAAGGCTCTGTACTTCTACGCTCCATGTTGGAGCTGCTGTGGTGCCCATAGGGCCTGTGCCAGCACGATTGGCTAATTAATGGAATGATGCCGTAAGGCGCATTTGTAAACATATGCCACGTGCCTGGAGCCACGGGCGATCATGAAAGGCTGTCTGGCATTCCCTTTCATCATTAGGGATTTTGGGGTTGGGGTGTGTCGCTTTGGGTCGCGGGTTTAGGATGGATTGCAGCTTCAGAGTACCGGAGAGCACCGGGACAGTCTTGTCTGAGACTTATGGGCACCTGTAGAGGTTATTCAGCCTTCTACATGACGTTTCATACAGAGGTTTTATCAGTTATAACTAAGGACTACTTTTCGCTTCCAATATCAGCACAGTACGTGGGTTCTTTTCTAATTCCTCTGGAGCCTGCACGTAGCTGGCTACAAGTCGTGTGAACCAAGGACGGCGGTCGGGTGGCGAACATGCTGTGGATATTATGAAACTCATATCAAATCAACTACAAGGCACATAGCATATTGTATGCTGTGTAGAAAAATACAGTCTTGCAAATATGACTTAAACGCTTCACGTCGTCCGCCTCGGAAAGGCTGTACTTGAAGCAGGTGCATTGTTTCGGAAAGCAACAGGTAGGTCACACCGGTGAGGTCTTGCGTGAAGGTGCGCATTTGCTTCAGGGGCTCTGAGCAATAAACCCGCACGAAAGGTGGCACATTCCCTGCCTTATCCTAGAGACGTTACTCTAGAGTTCGCATTACACTTCTCACTACAACCTCCCATATGTTGAAGGGGAACGGGGAATCAAGCTTTTCAACTTCACGAATGATGTAAGCTAGCCTGTCTTGCTTCGCCCGCAAGGAAGAGGCGAGAGAAGGGGGAAAAGGGAGTGGAGGGGTTGGGGTGGAGGGGCAAGGGGGGCGGGGTGGGGGCGAGGCGAATTGTGCAAGGACGTCGTGGCAGGGTGGAGGGTTCAAGGGCTGATTTCGCTCAGGTGGTGTGGAAGACCTTCCGAGAGTCCGTCTACCGAACGGACAAGGATGTTCTCCTGGAGCTCTACTCGCCTTATCGGCCGCAGCACCGGACACACTTAATGGCGCCTGAGCTTGAACGGGCTTGCGGGCTAGGGTTTAGGGCGTGGAGGGCTTGTAGGGCGTATAGGTAAGGGCTTCGGAATCCATCAAATTCAGGTGCGGGGAAAGCTTCTCACGTGCTGCTTCTGATTCTTGTCATGTTAGTAAGACGCATTCGTAGAATTGTGGCGTTTTTTCACAGTGAGAGGTAGGACCGTTAGCCGACACAATTCGACGGCATCCAACTGGACCCGGTTTTCAAGTCTCCACCCCCTGCAACCTCACCCTAAACCCTGAAACGCTAAACACCCCGAAACATCAACCCTAGCTAACGGACACAACACTTAACCCTTAATGCCTTTGAGTCCTGGCTACAACTCACCTCTGTAAACCTGAGCCAACCCGGAACCCCCAAAGTCTGCAACCCGAAACCACAAAAAAGCAACCGTAAACCATTGAAGCCTCGAGACCCCAAGCCATGTTTAAGATCCGAAACTTTATGTAAACCCCAAATGACCTACCCTTTCGGGGCTCCTTATTTTTGATTTCCTTCTTTAGCTCCCTACAACGTAGGCTCTAAGGTTTGCCTGGCCTGTCCAATGTTGTGAGTGCCGAAACCCAGGTCCTCGAGCTCGTGGCGGAAGCCTTGGGAAACCTGAGCACTCTGAAGGCCGGCTGGTCATCGTAGTCGTCGTAGTAGTAGTAGTAGTAGTAGTTACTGTAGTAATTGTAGTAACTGTAGTAATTGTAGTAGCACTGGCAGTAGGAGGAGTGACCCGGGGTATGTAGAAGGATGCCTGAACGCAGCAGCTGTGTCGAGACTGAGAGAGCCCTTTGGGGCCCTTTTGGGGTAAAAGCTTGGGGAGATCGGCGCAAGTGTTACTTGGCTATGAGGATTCAGGTTTGACGGCGTTTAGGTAGGGCCAGACCTGTGCCAGAAAGCAAAACCCAAAACACAGCCTGTATGTAACATGAAAAAGCCTCTAACAATCGACAGAAGCCGCAAAAAAAGGTGGCCCGAATGGACACCGCCAACAACTACGTCCTCCCGGAGTTCGGCTTGAAGGCGCCGAAGGGGGTTTGTATGTACGATTAGCATGGTTATTTGTGTGTTTCTTCATAAGGCCGTCATGCAGGTATCTACAGCGTCTCAGGTGGTTAGCTAATGGTTGCATATGACTTAAAATGACGGTTGGCAGGTTCGTTTTTTCAAGCATTTTAGACATCGGGTCTTGACATTTGGGAGTCCGTTTCATTACAGGTCCCGTGTCT